ATGTTGCCCAACACGTGCTACACCAATGGTTGGGGTTAATGTTAATATTGTTGGTTGTGGTGCCGCAATGGAAAGAGGTGAACCAATCTCCGTCCATACATTTCCACGACGATAGCAAACATGCGCTGTAATATCGGTAGGACTCACAAATTGCACCACAAGTTTCACAGACGTACCGGACGTGGCACCCGATGTTGATGTGAGTTCACTCATACGACGTACAAAGGAGGCAGAAACAGGTGGCTGCGCCGTCGCATTGGCACATGCCACATCTGTGAACACAACACTATCCGTTGCAGGGTCAAGACCCACACCTGTAAAGGTAATACCAATATACTGCCGCTGCTTAAGAGTTGTGGGATCAGGGGCATCAGTTACATAACCACTCGGGTTCGGACTACCAAGGGCTAGTAACTGTGGTACTTCCGCAACCGTAGCCTTGTCTCGTACATAGCAAACCACTAGAGATGGCATTGTAAGTAATGGTGGTAGAGCAAATGCATACACCGGAAATGATGAACTGGTCGGTGTTAATACCCTAGATGCTGGATCATCACAGGCGGAGTTTGTGGTCAAATTAGTACCAGCATAGGCCACAATATAGGCGACATCACCATCCTTTGCACCTGGAAAGGTCATTTGAATACCAAACATACCACTTGTAACAACACTTGGTACGGTAGCAAAAGTAGAAGGATTCGCTGGTTCCATTGTGTAATCACCCAGAGGGAAGGGCACGATAACATATTCATTCTGCCCAGTCTCACGATAACACAGTGTATACTTCATAGGGAATGATGACACCGGCAATGCATTGGGGCCAAGCGAAGGTACATGGCCAAGCCAAGTACTTTGATTACTTGTAACGGTTTTAACATTAGACGTTGATGCAAGAATGCCTTCCGAACTCATAGTCTCTGTTTCCCAACAGAGACGAGTCGCTTTCACAAGCATTGCCGCATCACTCACGCTAGGAGCCTTTACATCCTTACTATCAATTGCAAATCCTTTCACATCAAATGTTAGTCGTTGTCCTTGTAGGGTCGGTGTGGGTGTCACTGTGAATGTATTGGGTGAGTTTTGAACGGGAACAATGGAGTTCACCCCAACCTTGGCAAAACCACTATCAACAACACGGTAACAAACATCGTAGGAAACTGTCTCATTCATACCAACACGTAATGTCATTGCTTGAGCCTCCGTAGATGCCGTTACTTTTGCTTTCCCATACGGCAGAGTGGCGTCTATTCCATCAAAGCAGCTACAACCAGCACACACGCCACTATTGCCATATACACCACTCGAGTTTTATAACTTTCATCACTCTTTTTAGTCACTGTGGCTCGCTCGTAGATTGGTGTGTTGCTTGGTATAAAACTACTGGGGCCACTCGGTTCAACCTTCAGTGCTTCCGCCATCTGTGCATATCCATAACTATTGACAACAAAGTA